CTGGAGTCATACCAACTCCCAGCTGAATGGGAGAAAGCTACCTTTCTCCAGTCTTCAAAGGAAGGGATAGGTGGGACTCGGCCTGTTACAGATTAGTCACATTACTACCACACTATCGAAGGTAATGAAAGGGGTGGTGAACGGACAAATGAGGGAGTACACGGGCAAGAACAAAATCCACCATGAAGCTGAACACGGCTTTCGTAAAGGCAGGTCATGCGCATCCCATCTTCTCCTAGTATTGGACAGCTGGTCATCCTGCTGTGGCCAAAAAATACCCCACACACGCAATTACGAAGGTTGAGAAAATGGGCTTAATTGACCCACCCCTATCTTGGCTCAGAAACTACCTTGAGAATATAAAGTTTCCCACGAAGTTCATTAGAGTGCGCTCACTTTGGTGAGTCTCAAAATCGGGAGTTTCACAGGGGACCATCTTAGGTCTACTTCTCTTCCTAATATTCATTAACCATCTCTTAGACAAAGCTCGACGGTATTCATCTACGCAGATGATGCAAAGATCTGGAGGTCCATTGTAAGTAAATAGGATTCCACTGAGCTTGAAAATGACCTTACGTCTACTAAGGAATGAGCAGTGAAAAAGGTTTGAAATTAAACCGGTCAAAATGTCACGTTATGTACATTCTATCTCACAAGCGGTTTATACCCTCAATGGAAGTCCGCTCTCTAATGTCCCCGGAGAGAGTGATCTTGGTTTAATAACAACTGAAGGCTTCGACACCATATAGGGGACGCAGCCAAGGCTAGTGCAACTCTTAGCCTTATGTGAAGACACCTTGGTGCTCTCACCCCAGAATTCTTCTCATTGCACCCCCACACATTGAGGTTCACAACATCGTCGCTCTCCTTAAAAGTTACGTAAACCTCTTGGATCTAATGAAGGGACGAGCAACGAAATGGGTGATAGGGTTGAAGAGTAAACCTTACGAAGATATACTACAGAACTTAGGATTATTCTTCCTAAGTTACATGGGAATCAGAGGTGGCCTGATAACGGAATGTAATATATTAAGCACGCCAAATCATTCCAATATAAGCTTCTTACCGAAGCATCAACACCACGCCCACCGATGAAATCCTCGAAAAATTTTGCATCAGAAAGTGAACACCCAGGTTAGTGCACACTTCTTCTCATTAAGAGTCCTTGCAACTTGGGATGTCCTTCCAGCTGAGGTGGCCACAGCACCCTCAGTGGATATCTTTAAGAAGAGACTTGATAAACACGTACTCCCATAAGGATTATTATCTGGTTCGTGGACCAGCTGTTCCTGAGAATTCTCCAGCCCGGTGATGTGATGGCTGCTGGTACCCAGAAATCCTGCTGCCCTGAAACACTCGTAATCATTCAAATCGTGGGACTTACAAACTCACAAACCACTGCCAACTGACTAGAATTAATGTAGTCATGTGGCTATCCCCCCATCTGCTGGACACTACCAACCACTTAGAACCGCACCGAAATAAGAAGAATTGAGCGCACAGAAATCAATTGGTGTATACTAGTTCGTATAAAGGGTATTGGATATTGGATGTGAGTGCGCTTCTTTCGGAAGTAGAGTTACTGTGAAGCTTGCGTCCTTTCTGAGCACGTGTGGTCAGTGATCTGTGATTTTATGGACAAAAGGTACAAAACTGGCTTATGACATCTTAGATGCTTTTAGTTTCTTTATATCACACTCTGCCAAAGGTCAAATTGTGTCATTAGCTTTCAACGGTTTTATAATCATTTAAAGTGGTATTTAATTACAGTAACCTTTACTTAGGCTTAAAGATAACAGAAATTATACATTTTAATAACGTTTGTACGCTGTTCATCATTGTTATACTATAGCTCTGTATGCAAAGTAAATGATTTCAGATTTTAATATGTCATAATGCTGATTAAACTGGTTCAGAGCCGTAGGAAGGTGATTTTATCTCATTTTTCTCATCGACTCATCTGAAAATACAGATGCCGGAGTACTGTTAAAGTCCACAATTTTTGCTGCTCTAGTTCAGGACATTGGAGTTCCCATCTAGCCTAAGCTATGAGGTATTTTTCATTCTGGAGAACATTATCAAAGATAACTTCCCACATACAAAAATAAATAATCACAATCATTGATTTCATTTATATGCTGCTCATGACAGCGAAGTTCAATGAATCGAAAGTCGACTTAATGGTTACCAACTCTCGAAACCCTCGTTGTTGATTAAAGAACAACTGCTGAGCTTAAGTAATCACTTGAATATGTCTTTGAAATATATATTTCAGATCGGCTAAGAACAAGTAGGATGTCTTGGAAAGTGTCTAAAGCAAAAGTCAACGGTCAGTCATTTAGTCAGTTGTAACTGACTGATTTAATCAATGAGAAAATAAGCCTCCAGATTTTGGTCACTGGTTGTTTGTTCAGAATAATTTTGTTAAACAGCATTTTTTTGTGAATGAAAAGTTCAGTATAAAAACACTTCGTCATTTTTTTGCTCAAAAATGTATGCAGAGGGTGGCAGTTTTTGTAAGCATTAAGTCTTTCCAGTCACAAACTAGAATTTTATATTTTTTATCCCATATTATGGGAGTGATAATCGTATTTACGCATCTGTTTTTTGTTAATGTCAGTTCGTTTCAGTTATTATATGAAAACCAATCGGCCACATTAATAGACTATTATCCAGCGTTAAAGACTGACAAACCAATTATCTGTCCATCTTGTTTAACAACCCAAGTATGTTTCTTGTGACTTTCCGCCTAAATACGAAATACTTCTGGATTAGTCTGCATCAATACCTAGACTAATCATACATGTGATTGGCAGCGTCGGTTACTTAACTTATCCATTACGTTTTACCAGCATTGGTGCGTGAAATTGTCGAAGTGAGCCTGATAGTTAAGTGCAAACTACCAGGTTGGGGTATGCACTCATATCTTCGCCAATAATTGGAGATGTTGGATGACATGGCTTGGAATCAGTTTCAATGGCGCAAATACATTCTTTTTTAATCTGTTTTTGGATCTTAAGTCAAAAAGTTGTTTTTTACTTTTCTGGAAATCCTCTCGTTATTTTTCAGTCATGTTCTTTATGCCCATTGTTTTTTCTTTCACCGAAACTGGTACTTATCCTATTTTGGTGATGTGATGTGGAACATTGGACCGTTACACATTTGCATCAAGGTTCACGTCGCTTTTAGGTAATGGAAATTTTTCACGCGTTAGACTGACTCACTTGTCATGTGAGTATCAATACAACAGGTTTAAAACAACTAGTCCCTCTTATAAATCTTGATAGAACAGTGAAAAAACGTAATTCATCTGAAAATGTGATATATTTGCGCTCAAAATGTGTAACGCAAATACAGATCAGTTACGTCTTTTCACTGTTCTATCAAAACAGGTTGCCGAAAGTTTGTTAATTTCAAACAGAGTAGGCCTAAAGTTGTTAGTTAAGTACCTATTAACTTTTGCCCTAATATTCAAGTTGTACAATGTTTATAGAACACAAATTGATATATGTGGTTTGCGTCATTTTATAGGCTTATATACCATTTCAAACAGTGGGATTCTGAAAACAAATGAAACTGAACCAAAATGACGCGCATTTGTTGTACATTTTGTAATATGTGTTTTGGAAAACCATCTCGACTAGAGGCACACCTGCGAATACATACTGGAGAGGTAAAACATGAGGTTTCTTTTAAACAATGATCACCATTAATTGATTGTTTTTTTAAGTGTTTTGAGGTAATTTTAAACATCATCTTTCACCTTAGTATAAAATTGTCAAAATTACAGTCCAATTTAATTGAAAATTAGTTCCAGAAACTATGTTCCGAGATACATATATTGTCTGTGATTATAGGTACTACCTAGCTTGATGGAACGAAACTGGATTCAAAACTCGGGTAGATTGGTTATTAGAATCGACTAATTGGTCAAGAACGGAACTTCTAACTACCTCCCTCTTGCCTTTGTAGAATCACATTGGGACATGTTCTCATATCCGACCCGAAAGCAATCGCTGGCTGCGTCCCATATACCGTACTTCACAAGTGCAGGTGAAGTGACAGATGCATATGCGGCAATCGGACGAGTAAGCTTATCCTTTATGGATACGGAAAACAAGTTTCTACTGACGAATATTAGTCGCAGCTTTGTCGCATAGAACGTTCTTCTTATAGTTGTAGTTATCCGATTTTCAAGTACATCAGAATTTTGGTCACTTTTAAATCCCAGATTCATGTAAAGATATTTCTTTGAGATGGAATTTCCGGATTCCTTTCTCCGACGTTCTTTCATGTAGAAGGCAATTACAAGTTTTATTCTTGAATACTTAATCGATTCCGATCACTCTACTGATCCATAGGTTGATTTTAAGGTTGTTTATACAATTCGTCCAAATCTACCGATCTGATTCCTTGAAACAGCAGAATCTCTTGCCATACATGAGATGAAATCACAACTGTGTGCACAAAGGTATTATGTTTTACCCTAATCTATACCTTGGCTTTAAACTAATATTATTATTTTCGTATTTGTAGATATTTTCCCCTTTCTTTTTAATTATTTCCCATAGCCCTATAATTCTATCCATAATTGTGTTTGATACCAACTTATTTCATTTTAATCTCTCCACCACCTTTAATTAATGTAATAAAAACATCTGAATTACCTTACTTCGTTTATATTATAACCCATTACTAACTCATTAGTGGTGTTACAAGCTTTTTTATTTGTTACTATTTATATAATATTATCTAGTATTATAATATTCCTGACACATCATCATGTTTATTCATTGTTCATATGTTCTCACGAAATTGATACTTTGAAAATTTCATATATATGATTGTACAGTCTGGTAATGAATTCACTAAAAAGAGATCCTTTCGTTGAATTTCAGCTTTTTAATGTTTAAGTGGGTATCATTAGTATATTTATAAATAAGAGAAACATTAGGGGGTGTAGGAAGGATTTGATTTTGACCAATTTGGTCTCGCGTGCTGTTACGGGTATGAGGGCGGTTGTCACTTCCCGGCTGCCCACACCGTGTAAGGTTGTTTCTTGACGAACCTGAAAAGGAAGATGGATTAGTGTTGGTGCGTGACCGCAGAGCCCAAGGGGCAACTGCTTGAGGCCGGTCACGCACGGCCTTTTTATGAAAGGTATCTAGAGGATTAGCTCCGTTCTTAAAGGCCCTTAGTGGGCACCCTTACCCAAGGAGACGGAAATCCGTGAGGTAGGGGAGGTGTGACATTTTTAGGGCCGACCTTTTCTAACCCTTCCTTCCTTGTGAGAAGGCAGCATCGCTGCAGATGCTGGTTGTCCGAGGGAAACACCTTACTGCTGTCACACCCCTCTGCAGTCAGCAGTACGACTTGGCCCTCAGACCTTGGGTAGCTGCTTTTAGTCTCATCGTTCTCCAATCGACCTGCCTGGCATGGTAGGACCTGCAGGAACATATGTTCCAGCCAGTATAGCTCGGTTGGGTCATCACGATAGTCAAGCCCGACCACCACGTCAAGGTAGCAGCTACGGTCGGGAGGTAGCAGCTACGGTCTCTGTGCTGATGTGGTATGGCAACATGAACTGATGTACTTACGTACGAAGTTCTACGTTGCATCTGACTGACTGACATCAGTATATTTAAACGAAATACTCATCTAGATTTTTACTACTTTTAGGACTACCGGATCATTGTTGACATTTTAATAAGAAGTAGTTCTTGTCTTGAGTTTACATTAATTTACAGAAATGTTTAATTCATAGAACTTATCGAAAATGTAAATGCAACTGTTTATAACAACATATGTATTCAATCCATTGAATACGAAGTGTTTGTTGCTTGAAAAAAAGGAGTATGTCAATGTTAGATTCTTCTGTACACCTAATTTATAGAAATACATTTGTCTCATCTCCGTCCCAAATATCCATAAAAGTTCTCAGAAGTCAGGCTCTGTTACTTCATCTTAATTTTTGCTTAAATAGTGTGTGTGAACGTCCTTCCCAAATCCTATTCACCAATGACCCTGTGAATATTAAATCGGTAGCTCAAAAGAATCAAACGTCTGACACATGTATCATCAATCTAAGGGGTTAATAATCATCTGGAAATCTTTGTATTGATCAGCACTCTCACAGAAACTCTTGGTCCACTTATAACGAGCTATTTTATTCATAAATTTCATTCATGGCCTGTAAATTAACTATGTTTTAAATACTACATTTTGTTACACATTCATAATCTTACTACAGGTCATTTAAAACACTCCTTTTTAAGTGACTGGTGGTTAAACTATTTATTTATTGGTATAAACACATCAACATTTGTACAAAGGGGCATTAAAATATATATATTCGCGCCACGTTTAACAGTTATCATTGAATTTTTGTGGGTTTCACTACTTTCTGGTTGCTAAAAACGAAGTAAGTGGTTTTCCTAGAAGACCACCCCAAGCCTGTGACCTAAAGATCGAATCCACAAGAAACTGGATCCCATGATAGCTGGTAGTCAAAAATAGACCCATACGCCATTTTCTCCCTCAGAATCCTGCAGATCATGTTCACCAGTGGTATTAAATCAGCGTTCTCCAACTACTCTGTATGGATCCTCTATACCCAACAGTCCGGTTTTAGCACCGTATGTTCGATTTTCTTCCCCTAAATTTCATAGAAACACCTTGGTTGTGAGAAGGCGGTCAATAGAGCTTTCATGTCAGTGGCTATGTGAGAGCAGACTCTCCTTACTGTTGAATGTGACGTGGCATTCGGGAGCTAACTTTCACCCTCTGGGTCCTGCTTTACCTATTCCTGTCTTCACAGTCATTTAGTATTATAACAAAGAATAATAAGTCGCGTTTCGGCGACAAAATTTTTAGTATACATTGGTAGGTCGACGAAGCTTATGAAATGACATTTTTATTCACATCCAACATAGCATTCAAAAAGTTAAAAGACTCATTTTTCACTATTGTTCATTTCATTGGCAGCGTCCGTATGTTTGTGAATGTGGCAAAACGTATACACGAAAACAACATTTAACTCGTCATGCTTCGAAATGTCAGAAATCTATTCCAAAAATTAGCTTATCTAAACAACAAGAGTCAATGAAAGCCGAAAAGACCTATTCATGTTCACAGTGTTCTGCTGGACCTTTTCAAAAAAAGAAAATGGTATGGGCTCATATGGCTATGGTACATCGGTAGGTTCTAACATTCTGATTTTGTTACTATCATTTGTAAAATGTTCAGTTTATGGTTATATGTATGACGTACGTTAGTTTTAGAGGCTATACAATAATACCGTTTGAATTGACTCAAGTGTCATGATTCACTTTTTAATGCACAAGTCGGTATTCCATTGACATTAGTGTATTCGTTTAGTTTATCTTGTTGTGTGTTGGGATACAATCATGATGAATTACATTCATGAATGCAATTAATATGAGTCGTTCCTCTTCTAATTAAGTTAAAAGACTATAGGCAGTCTAAGGCGAGAGAAAGCAGCAGGTTCTGATAGATTAGCCTTTGTGGTTTTGAAGGATGGTAGTTCAGTTTTAGAAAATAGATTGACTGGGATCTTAAATAGACTCTGAGAACTGGATGTAACCCTATCTGACTGGGGTGTTAGCCTCGATTATGCTTAGACGCCTATCTAGTGCTCGTGAAGAGCAGACTCGAGAAAACCAGGCTGGATTCAGACCTGGACGTGGATGTATAAACCATATATTCACAATACGTCAGGTCCTAAAACACTGACACTCATTCAGACGTCCGACAGTAGTTATATTCCTGGACCTTAAAGCGGCAATTGACTCAGTGGACCATGAGGTTCTTTGGCAGTGTCTGTCATTAAAAGGTTTTCCGAATAAGTGCATAAACCTTAAACAGTTTCTCTATTGGAAAACTACTGGTTGAGTTAGAGCTTATGGCAAACTGTCATTGGGTTACGTCAAATGGTGTTCGTCAGGGTTGTTCACTTTAATTTTATTTAACTTTGTCATCTACATGGTTTTAGAGATAACACTTTCATCGTCTGACTTTATAGCCGGTGACCTTCCACCAGGAAATTCACAGAAACGACATTGTGACCATCGGTTGCGCTAGTTTTCCTGCTCCGTAGAATGTTGTTGGACATTTTCATGTCAACTATTCTTATCAGAAAAACTTCGTTGAAAGCAAACTATCTGTAAGACAGCAACAGTACGATTGTTTAAGCCTGAGAATGCAATATTTTTCCCTATGAGAAACTTTCTTTTAGCAACAACTGCGAAGTTCTAACTACTAAATAATTTAAATTAAGATACCAATAAAATTATCAGTCGAATCTGCATCGGTAGTTCTTCAATTCGCGCCTAGTCATGGGGTGTTTGTGTGGTGCAACCTCATCGTAAATGTTCATTCCAATATTTAATATCGTTTTGTGAATTCTACGATAAGCTGTTGAGTCGGCATACAAATTGAGTCGCTATACTTGATGACTACCACACTTGTAGATTGATTGTAGATGTGACTGATGCTTTTCATACTGCAGTTTAAAAAGGAAACTGAGGAATGTTATTGATCTAATAATCACTATTCCAAGTTCGATCTGAATAATATTCACCTGAGTTTTTCGCATCGAAAAAGAAGTGTGTTCAGGCAGATAGTAATTAGATACGTTTAATGCATCCTAGTCGCTGTGATCGATACAAGCTTCAATTAATTGGTGACGCTGTGAATAATCTTAACTAGGAAATTGAAAATTTAATATAGAGTTTCGCAATAAAACCTATGTATGTATATATGTCTATTTTACATTAATGCACTATTCAAGCGAACGGAAACACATATGTGACAAATGTGATCGAGCGTTTCCTACGGCATCTAAGCTTCAACGTCATTCGTCAAAACATCATGGTTACACTTGTAATCTGTGTTTTGAACAAACGTCTGTAAACACGGAGAACCAAGAATCAGTTACCCCCAAACCTGTTCACTTTGAAAGTTTCGCATGTTTGAGACGCCATATTGCTACAGCGCATCCCAAAACACGTAAGTGACTTTTGAACAAATGTGTGTTTATTTTATGGTATGAGGCTTTGTTACTCGTTACTTAGAACATAGTATATTCATGTGTTTTACCAGAACACTCATGTTAATAATATAGTTTAAGTTTTATTAGTTACCCGTGTATAGTTTCTCCTCTTTTTCAAGTATGTTAAGATTCCTTCCTCGAATGTAATTTAGAAGTCATATATGTTGTGTTGACCGCTTCTCTTATCTCGGGACTCTCGTCAGTACAGATACAGAAGGCTCGCTTGGCTTTTGCTAACTTGCGTCATTTATGTTGTCGACGAGATATCCGTTTGCTAATCAAAGGACGACTGTACTTCGCAGCAGTTCGCTCCGTTCTACTTTATAGCTGTGAAACATGGCCAGTAAGAGTAGAAGATATTCGTAGGTTACTGGTTTTCGATCATAGGTCTTTCCGAAGCATTGCTCGTTTATCTTGGGACTGTCGAGTAAACAAAGCTGTTGCTAAGAAACGAGTACTAGGTAGGTATGTTAAATCAATTGATGAAGTATTGAGACTTCATCAGTTAAGGTGGTTGAGACATGTGTTGCGTATGCCTCGAAGAGCTATATTTTGCGGTGTAGGAATAGGTTGGACGAAAGCTAGGGACGGCCAGGCCAAAACTTGGCAGAAATCTATGAAGTTACTGACAAGCGAACTGAGTCATGTTGGTAGATGTGGACTGCCTGGTTGGGGTCCGCGAGACAATAGGAAACTTGAAAACGTGGTTCCAAACCGTTTGCCATGGCGCAGGTGCATTCATTCTTTGTGTTCCCTAAAATTGTAATCTTTATCATCTCTATCTTCCTCTTTCTGAAGTTATGTCTCTGTCTACTCATTATGTCAAATCCGATCTCGTATTAGCAGAATCCCAACTTCTCTGGTACGGCCAAGAGTGTGGAGATTTCGTTCTCTCTTGAAATGCTGGCCATGTTTATATATTGACTAACAGGGAAGTCCTACTCACCTCCCTACTCACAAAAAAGGTGTTTTTTTACCAAATTGAGGGGACGTAAAGCGAATATCCGGTTCCAAAACCGGGTTGTTAGGTATAGAGGATCTACCTAGGGGAGTTGGAGAACCCTGATCAATAACCACTGGTGGACATAGATTCCAGGACCCTGAGGGAACAAATGGCGCATGAGTCTATACTATATTCCAAATAAGTAGCTTCCGTTGTTCATGATAACTTCTTTATTTCTCACCTCATATCAAATATGTACAATTTACTGCAATTCTAATAATATCAATATTTCATCTGCGTTTTGTTCTTCTCATATATCTCCAATTTTTTTTTATTCCACAGCTCTACAATGTTCTACTTGTACTATGCGCTTTACAAGACCTAGTGCACTGGCAGAACATGAATCTACGCATACTCCTGGTGGACCGTCTGTAAGACGACGTTTTATTTGTCCTTTATGTTCACCTAAAGTTATAGAAGATAAAAATAATAATAATAATTCCAGTTCACATGAAAAAGATTGTTCTGTTGCATTTACAACTAAAAGAAATTTAGATGCACATATACGTTTAGTACATACTGATTTCAAGTTTCATTGTACATGGCGTGGATGTCCTGTTCTTTTGTCTACTAAAGTAAGTAGACATCTATTGAGTAGTATGTTTTTGACAGTGACATGAATTCTCCTGTTACTGTGAATTAATATCGCTATATATTGATGGTAAATTATATATTATCGCACAAAATAAGTTTAATAACTAACTGTCCGTTATTGTTATTGATTCTGAGATTTGATTGGCTAGCTATTGAAGATATATTCACTGATATTCATTCATATTGCTCAATGAGTGAGTCTGTTATATCTGACTTTGATTGGATTGTTTATGCTCTGGATTTCAGTGTGTCGACTGTTAATAGTAAGCCTACTGTCGTGTCCATTTATGGATCTTAATTGTCTGTTAGATATTTTGCAACTGTACGTATCCCGTTATCTATTTTCTACTCTTTCTTGTATATTGTCTACTGTCTGTTTTGTAGTCTACCGAATCTATTGTTAAGTGTACTGTATGGATGCGAAATCCATTTTCTTAACGTTATGAAATATTGCAGTACTGATCTTTTTACAGTATACTATGGGTTTGTTCGCTTTATCAAGATGAATTAATATTGAACATGTTTCTATGTGTTTCAGAATGCCACTAGCTGACTAAATAAAATCCATCTGACTGTGTAAAGAAATTGAAGTAATATATACCTTTCTTGACAGTCAGCTTTTTAGTGAATAGTGTTACATGTAAAGACTCACTTCATTGATTTGTATTACACTAAGCTTTGTGTGATACTGATCTTCACTTGGAATCCACTTGTGAGTTACTCTTCGCTCACAGATTTGCAGTGTAGTCTGTCGTAAGAATTTAGTCTGATGGTGTCAATCTTCCCAACCATCTTTAAGAAGATTTCAAAAATATCTCCTGTCCACGCTTTCAAATGCTTTCTCCTAGTCAAGGAAGTTGATGTAACATGATAAGTTCCATTCAGGTGATTGTTTAACAATGATTACTTTCAAGAGGAGTTGATCGTTTTATTAATTCACTTCTCAGTGCCGTACCAAAAGTATGCTTGTCTTCGGTTATTAACATGTAATCAAATCATACGGATCGTATTTTCGTGATGGAGTTTCGTCCTCTGAGCTAGATGTTTTGATTGTGAACCTTTCATTGTTCTTCTAAACGACATCAAATAAAAGTGAAGTATTTGAATTTCTCCACGTATGACTCGTAGCTTGTTGTGCTGACCTTGATCTTGATTGGTTAATATTGACCTTAAATTTCAATCAATCGATTACAACTAATCACAAAAGCAAAACCCTTGACAGTTTTTCATATGCTTGTCATTTACCTCTTGGTTTACAATAACATGTAATATTAAAACTTGAATCTAACAGTAAAATTTATATAGAATAGCTGGACGTAGGTTAGCAGCTGAATCTATGATGCACGTTTCGTGCTCCCTTATGTTCATCAGTTGCATGTATCTGAATCCCAGAGTTGATGTCCACTCCGGAATGCAGGCACATTTATTCCATCTATTCTGTAAAAACTTTCGTCATAAATGCAATGTAGATCCATTCTACACGGGATGCGCTCATACCAAATAAGACTATCAACAACGAAATAATCTGAGCTAATGCAAATTAGATTTAGTTTAACTAAGCATACTACTTATAAGTAACTAAGTTTATTTCACAGAAATTACTATTCCATGTTTTGTGAACTTAGGCATATTGACGCATATTGTAATACTTAGTTCTATTTAATCAAACGTTTTTCTGTTTATTAATTTTTATTTTAATAATTAGCAAAAATTGAATGAACACATGGAACGTCATCGACTAGGCAAATCATTTGCATTCAAAACTCGTTCCAAACGTTATTCACGCAATGATTCAAGTAGTAGTAATAATAAAAAGAATACAAACAAAGGTTTGTCGTCAGATAATAATGAAGATTATTGGGAGACAGCTAGTCAAAATAGTATTTTTGAATTATTAAATGATGTAATTGATTGTTCAGCTAATTAAGTTTGTTTTTTGTGGTGGTTTTTTTGGTCTCTGAGCTGGTTGTTTTGGTTGTGGAGCTGAACAACATCATCAGCACAAACTTCAGATTGTTAATTTTTGTTAATTTTTTCATGAAAAAAAAACTAATTTTTATCATTGTATTATGATCATATTTCATTATTGAACGAAAACAGAAATAAGCACACACATACAATAAATATGTGATAAAGAATTGTATAGAATATTTAACATATTTTGTATATTTTTATATGTCGGTTTTTTTTGTGAAACTAATATAGTGTACATATATAAATGTAATGGAGTTAATCTTTATTAAAAATAATAATAATGAACATTTATTTTCCGAATATTTATTGTACTGTGGTGTGACGATGCACCTGCGTGTTTTTAAGCTCGGTTTATAAATCAGAAGATAAACTCGTATTGATGAATACGTTTATTCGGGACACATCACAAAGCGAAGCGGAATTGGAGAAGGCTAAGAGCCAACTGAAAGATATAGAACATGACTAAGAATATATAGTCAGACCAAAAATAAGACAGACATATGACAAGTGAAATAGACATGCACACACATGAATAAAAGCGACGAATGATTGACAAGGTCAAAAGCAAGCGATACAAATCATGTGAGTTCATGGGGAAATTAAGAGATTAACATTAAAGCGAAAAGGATGAGTAAGCGCGTCGGCGTAAACAGTGCTCAGTCGTATAAGCTCATACAAAGCAGATAATAAAAAATACCAATGATACATATGAGTTATTGTTATACAAATGGCTTGGTTAAATAAATTAATCGAAAGGCGTAATCAAATTAAATATGAACGAATTCAAGTTTATGTGGAGGCACTACAGTACTACTTATTATAATAATTTTTTTCTTGAAAAAAACAACCATTTTTTAATTTTCTTAATACGTGAAACAAAAAATCAAGACTATCTGGTCGGGGTCCGCGAGATGATAGTGATCGATGGTTAGAGACTTTGCATGATAAGGCTCAACCGGACCATAGCTGCTACTTTGTCGTGGTGGTCGGGCTTGTCTATGATGATGACCCAACCGAGCTATACTGGTTGGAACATATATTCCTCTGTAGGTCCTACCTTACCAATCAGGTCGATTGGAGAATGATGAGAATAAAAACAGCTACTCTACGTCTGAGGGCGAAGGGCTCAAAATCGTTTACAATGGTGCAGGTGCATCCACTCTTTGTGTTCTCTCAAATTCTAATCTTCTGAATTCCTCATCACCTTTATCTTTCTGTTTTTAAGTTTATTTCATTAAGAAATACTTTTCGAATCGTATCTTCAAACCCTAATCTTCTCCATTACCGCTAACACTTCTACTACCTCCACTACCATGGGAATTGAATTAACATTATTGATCTCTCTGTGCTAATTTGGCATGTCGACTTGTACTGATGTAAGCACGTATGAAGTTCGACGTTGTGGCTGAGTCAAAGATTACAAATTTCCTGTACAATCAGTTGGATTTATTTAGTTTTTAAAAATGAATTCAGAATATGAACATTGTTTCATATGGTTTCATGAGAAGTAATTAACCGATTTGATTACTAGAAAAAATTTATGGTTTCACTATAAATTATTTTTGCGCTTTAAAAGCTATGAATAGTTCTTCTAAGTCATCATCTATTCATTCAACTACACTTTAAAAAAATGCTGTCATATTCGATTCAGGGTGTTAGTGGGACATAGATGGAATTAAAGCATGACAACGTTGCTGCGCGCTGATTGGCTGATTTCCTATCCAATCAGCGCCTGATCGAATCTTGGAGAACAGGGAGAAAGTTCTCGTGTTGCTAGCTGCACTCTGATTGACTAAATCTAATTCAGTCGATCACGTGAATTACTATCCAGAAGCTTCTCATGTAAATGCTATAAAGAAACTAACGCTGTATCTATTTTGCCTTCGGCTTCGTATTTCCATTTAACGTTGCTATTCGGAATATAAATCTTTCCTGTTCCATCGTGTTTTTGATTCTTTGGAACTTGTCCAGTGTATTGTGGTCAGAGAATACTAAGCAATAGGAATTAGCCGGGAATTATTTAAGCAAGCTTACAACACAGGGATATACAGTGCTTAGTAAAGGATTTGTAAAAGATCACTTGAAGCTGCATCGGGTCATCAATTTTACATTTTTTCTTCTGACAATAAATGCTTCTGAATGCAGCAGTTGGTGGCCGCGTTTAATTCATTGTTGAGAAGTGAAGTAGAGAAGGGGTGTGTACCAACTTCAAGTCGCTGTTCCTTGCTTCTACGCTTTTTATGCTCATCTGTCTAACTGAATGAATGTGTGAAATAAATTCTTCAGCAAAACCATATTTGGCTTCTTATTACCATCGCCGCACAAACGGGGTTCGCCTAAGTATGATAAATGGAAATGAAATTAAAATCACTTTAAAAACATTTAAATTATGATATTATTGGAAATAACTGGAAAGAAAACTGACAATATGAAAGCAGAATTTGAAAGTTGGTATATGGTAGTCAAAGTAAAATGGAATTAGGGTTGTAGTGTGCCGATTTACTGCGTGTTCTTAAGCTCGGTTTATAAATCAGAAGATGAACTCGTATTGATGAATACGTTTATTCGAGGCACACCACAAAGCGAAGTGGAGAAGGCTAAGAGCCAACTCAAAGAAATAGATCATGACTAAGAATATCTAGTCAGATAAAAATAAGACAGACACGACAAGCGAAATTGGCATGCACACATTTGAATAAAAGCGACGAATGGTTGACAAGGTCAAAAGCAAGAGATACAAATCATGTGAGTTCATAGGAATATTTAAGAGATTAATATTAAAGCGAATAGGATGAATATGTGCGCAGGCGTTAAGCAATGCTCAGTCATACTAGCTCATGCAAACCAGATAATAAAAAATACCAATGGTACATACAAGTTGTTGCTAAGCGAATGGCTTGGTTAAATAAATTAATCGAAAGGGCTTAACCAAGTTAGATGTTAGCGAACTGGAATATATGTGGAAGCACTACAAGGTAATCAGGAAGAGGCGGTAGAAGTGGATAGGACACACTGCGAAAAGCACCCAACTGCGGCACAGGACAAGCCCTCACTTGGAACCCTCACGGTTAAAGGAAGAGAGGAAGGCCGAGAAACAGAGAAAGATATGAGTAGAATGAAGGCCAGGATACAATAGGTTGGAGAACACTGGTTGGTGGCCTATACTCCAATGGGGATGATAGGCGTAAGTAAGAACTCGGTTACTAGTTTTACTACTGTCGTAATATATCATGGAAATAAGATATTATTTAAATTCTTTGGTTTCACCAGAAATAAAACGTGGTTTTAGTGAAGTAACTGTTTCTAAGACAGAGAGTGCTCTTGATTAACAATGCATAATACTAGGATCCCAGACGATTTCTGTTTGTAGTTTTTCACACAATACTTTCATTCATCGACATCATTTGTTTTGTTTTAGCTCTAAAAGATTGATAACGTCAACTGAATTAACGAAATATCATTATGGTTTAGAGTGGAATGAACTGTTTGGATCGGATTGATTACGCTTCAGATGTATACTTAGTATGTAAATATATTACTAAAGGATATAATAACTCTTACCATTATACTTCAAAACAGGGCTATGTAACTTGTACGCATAGAAAACTATACACTAAGATGTGAGTTTAGAATACAATGTTAACAGAGTACGTAAGTGTTCCACACAATAGAATCATAGGAACACCTTGATAAGAGGTAATAAAGCGAGAAATCTTAAAAATACTTATCAAACCAAGTCACCATGAGCGTATAAAAATAAAATCTTTATTAAGTGAATCGTAAAACCTGCTGACGTTTAAGTTAGTCAAACTAATACATTTTTGTGGAATAAAGTATTTAGTAGTCAAAATTTAACTTATTAGGTACATTGTTCAAGTCAGTGCGTTTATCGAAACATATTTTTGTCTGATTTTTTTTTAACTAAACAACATAACTGGAATTATGCTAGCTGAGGAGAATCATGAATATTCACAGTTAAATTTTTGATCACTTAAATAAACATGTAAACCAAATCTTTTAATTCTTACAATTAGCAGTAAGAATTAAAACTTCAAAATTTGATATGGTGTGGAAAATTTGTAGCTCAGGTGGATGATTGTGGTGGAGTTTCGTTCTCTGAGCTGGATGTTTTGGTTGTAGAGCTTTCATTATTCCTCCTGTGAACAACATCGTCAGCACCATCTTCAGATCGAAGTGAACTATTCGGATTTCTTCACGTATGTTCAGAAAAACAACGAGAACTACACAGCTTCAAATTTTCCACTTTCTCTAATTGTTACGCATGCACGTAAATACATCATTTTGATATGTTTGAACTATTACGAGTTTACCTTAGTCGGAATACGACAGCGAGGACCCGGTGACACGACATGCTACTCAATCCGATTATCCCAACCCCCCACTAAATAAAAGAAGAAGACTTGATAAGAAGTGGGGCTTGTATTCTACAAACATCCAGAAAGTACGAGGTCCAAGTCCAGGAGAGTATCAGGATCCTGGACTAGGGATCCGTGTCCGGGTCATAAAACGTTACAGATAATGCGTATTTATACATTTGGGTCGAATGTAAAACAGCATCAAAGTCTGTGACATTGACAGTTAAGTCGACCAATGGGAAACAACATTGGAGTATACATGACATTGACGACCATAAAATTGATCAGTAGGAATTAACCAATAGGAATTGACCAATAATTCTCTTAGGATATTGGATGAATCTCCTAACACTATTCAAAAAATACTTAGTATGTTACCTTCCTGCACCTCTCTGTCTCTGTGTAGTTATTGTTTTGCCAAATTATATTTGTTCAAAATGATCTGTTTTTAATTTATTGAAATACACTATGTAACAACGTCATAAACATTCATGTTGCCTACAATGCCAAAGGTCCTGGGTTCGAATCCTGCGAGGAGCAGGAGTCGTGGATGCGCACTGCCACTGATGAGTCCCATACCAGGACGAAACGGCCGTCCAGTGCTTCCAAGTTTCTAATGGTGGTCTAA